CCTAACAGGTACTTGGAAGGAAGCCTAGAGGGTACTTGCAGGGTCTTTCTTATCTGGGGTCCCTTGGATATCCCTAAACCCATTATAGTAGTTTCCATTTTCTTTTCCATTATCCCTATATACCCCTATAGTATCCCTATATATACCCCTAGACCCTGGACCCTTCTACCTGATTCTGAATCAAGAAGCAACTTCCGCATAGGTCGTAATGGGCGTGTGCCGCACAATGTTGTACGAAAGCTGCACGCCCATGCTGACCTCGGATGCCCATCGATTCAAGTTTAGGGTTTAGCATTTAGGGTTTAGGGATATATATATATAGAGTTCCCCTTAAGTAGATGGAATATGGGGTATATGGGGATCTTATTATGATATACCCAAAGCCATACTCTATCTACTTAAGGGGGACTAACAGAAGCCAGTAGCTACTAGCCCTTCAGTTCGGAGCACGGATGTCAATTGAGCTACAGTCTAAACCCCTAGTATCCCCCTTCATAACCGCTATAGTACTCCCCTATATAATCCTCTATATAACCCCAGTTTGAGGAGTTTAGACTAATTATCGCTCAATAATGCTGGCATGAAGGCATTCTTGAGGGGCCTCAACGGCAAAGCTTCTGTGCAACAGTGGACGGGAGGAGAGGGGGGGTCTGAGGGGTACCGGGAAGTTGGAACATTACAGGAAAGCTAGGTACAAACACGTAGCAGTCTGCAAACTGCAGAAATGGTTGGAATGCAAGTGAAGAGAAGAAAACGGTGCCCCAGCTCTACGCAAAAGGCTTTTCTTCTGCATGTACGCAACAACTGCAGATGCTATTTCTGGTGTTGGGTTTCTCGTCGTCATGCTCTTCAAACACTGAGACCCTGTACCAAACTCTTAACCTGCGCCGGAGGCTCCAAATCCTGTGCCTCTACGTCGACCTATATGCCTGAATCTACTATTGACAGCTCTGAACCGGTATCAACTTCTACCAGCGGCGAAGAAAATGTGTCAGAGTGCCGCAGGGGCATTCAAATCACGGAGAGTTCCATGTTGTCCTACGGGTCTGAATACAAAAAACCTGTAACCTTGGGCCACTGGGCTTCTATCTTGGACTTCATGGGGTTTTCGCGAATGGACCATACATGCAGACACACACACACACAAACCTCTGTATATATATATATATACATATATGAATATAAATAAGGCTATCTTTACAGTTGTAGATACAAATATTAAGTATACTAGATGTAGACGGGTCGGAAAGGAGAACCTTAGCACACGCGATGACTTGGACACTCCAAAAGGGCGCCTATTAAATCTCCGCACAGTGCCTACGTAGTCCCGATATACGCCTTTGTAATCCGACTATCCCTACAACCATAATTTCTTGTATGACCCCCACATAGCACATAGCCCTTGGTGGTAGGCACACCCTGCACCTTCCGGAATCCGCCGGACACATAATATCACACAATACAGCAAGACATTTGACGGTTTAAGGTTTAGGGGGGAACAGGAAGTACAATAGTTTGAGGCCCTAGGTGGTGCAAGCACTCTTCCATCATTTGCGATTCTGCCCTGCGCGCTTGCGACATGGACTTCGTCAGTTGATGCTTGGCACACAGACTTAAGAGCAACCTGCATTTCACCGAAAAGCCCCTGCAACATAGGGGGCTGAAATATATGGCTGAGGGTTGAGGGTTTGTGGCGCTTAGAGCTTAGGCTTGACAAGCCAGTCATAATTTCAGTTTACCTGCAAGCAGACCTTGCACTCCAAACGGCGCAGGAAGACTTGAATCTAAGCTCTGAAGCCCAGCCCTAACCCACTTGCCCTAGACCCTAAACTCCAAAACCCTCAGGCCTATGTTTTCGGGTTAAGGTAACATTTCAACCTGAAAGCCTGAACCCTAAACCGTCAACTCTACGGCCCCGAACCCTTTCCCCAAAGGCGAGTGGCAGCTTCAGTCCAGATGCTAACTTTGGAGAGACCTGGCTAGCTGTGAGATTCTCGATAGGCTCCCCACACACAGTTACAACAACTAAAGGTTTAGACTAAAGGTTTAAGAATTAGGGTCTACTTTAGGGCTGAAGGTTTTATGCTCTGCACAGACTCGAAGAGCCTACCCTTAGCGGAATGAGAATTGAGGGTACGTTTCTGGTTTAGATTTGGTAATTAAACTCTCTCGAATGAATATTCCCCAAAGAATTCCACCTACCCGGAAGGGCGAATAATTACGACTGGGCGGTAACCGTTATGTCATGCTGGCCCTCACTATAAGGCCCCTAAATAAGCCTAGTTCTCATTGCATTGCTCATCTGATTCTACAATAGTACCAGAAGGAAGGGATTGCAGCCTAAATGCTAAACAATACGGGAAGAGATTCGGGCTAAATCCCCAACCCTGAAAGAGTATGAATATGATGGTGCGTATTTGCTTTCCATTATTCGGCCCTAAACCCCAAACCCTAATCCCTAAACCCTGAATCCTATACCCTAAATCCTAAATCTCTGCCTTGGGCCGACCTTGCGTTCCACACGGCCATCACCTGCTTTTGGGGACGGTGATGTGGATCCTCTTAGGGTGTTAATTGCCAAAAAAATGGGGTTGAGGGTGTTACTGGGTTTGGGGTTTAGGGTGTAAAAAATGAGGTTGAGGGCGTTCTCTGGGGCAGTTCCCAAAGTGCGGGTCCCATTTTGATGTCCCTGAATGTTAGGTGCCGTAAGAATCCTTAACCAAAACGGGCCAATTATTTTGCGAACAACGCGTTGGTTTTGTAGAGGGCTTGTGGAAGTTGCGGGGTGGCCTGTCGCCACGACGACTGGAACCCTACAGAGAGAAGATTGGCAAGGCCCTGGAGCAAATGGAGATGCACAGAAAAATTAATGGTTTCAGGGTTTCTGGTATGTAGTGTTTTAGGCTAAAGGGCTTCTACTCTCAGGTACAAAAACGTGGCAAGTTAAGGCCATAAGCACTATAGTCTAGACTCCTAGTATCCCCCTTAATAACCCCTTTCCTACTCCCCCATATAATCCCCTTGCCCCCTTTCAGGAGTTTAGGCTATATATCACAAAAAAAAGCTAAGCCTCAGATTCGTGGAGGGTACATGGAGGACAGCCTCTCTGAGGCATCGCAGTCTGATCTAAGTGAACGGTTAGCTGCTGCTAGTCTGCTTGCATCTGGCGTTTTTGGGAGATGCTGAACTTCTGTAGATTTCCAGCCCTTGCATGTATCCAAGCCGACAATTAGTCCTTGCTAATGTTATCAAGAAGGGCCAGTTTCATTTTTGGACACCCCGGCTGAAGAAGTCAAGCTCACGCACAACATAGAAACACCCCAAATGTTCAATGAAGACAACTGACTCTTCAAGATTCACATCAGCTATTTGGGCTTTCCCGGATAGTCTTGGGGAAGGTCCTCACTGGCAGCATATCCCAACGTGCAAGAAGCGGCCTGCGGCATTTTCCCAACACAGGAGCCTGCAATGACCTCAGCAGAGAAAGGAGCTCTACATGACGGCATCGCAGTTAAAGGGCCCTCAAAAGTGTGCTAATCGGTCCCCTTAGATGACTAGAAGGTAACTTACATAATGAATCATCATCCTCGATTGCCAGCTTAAAGGGCTTCTCCAGAAAACAAGGTTATAGTCCCTCTTAAGTAGCTAGAATACGGCTTTTGATATTTTACAATAAGATCCCCATATACCCCATGTTCTATCTACCTAAGGGGGACTATACCTCTTGTGTATCTTCAAGCGCAAAATCCTGGTAACCCTAATGTAAGCCCCTGATTAACAACCCCTCCTTTTAAGGCCCTTAATATTCGGATGTGTAGTATAATCCCCATTAAGGGGAGGGGCTTTATTAATCATGGGTCTACATCAAACACTAAACCGCGTGGCTTTGCATCTGTGCGGAACTATCTTCATTATTGGGAGGTACTGCGATGGATGGAGGAAATCTTGCATCACGTAGTTTAACAAGCACCGTCATTACCATGGTCGGTGCATACAGGGTGGTGCAAGTTTACTTCCACCCACTGCAAAATCGCAGGTCCCAATACCTGTTAACAAGGTGTTTAGGGTTTAGGGTCCGGTTAGGGTTTAGGACAAATATACCCTAAATGACACTCAGAGCCCTAATAGGATTCCAGGTATATTCCTCACTCCAGGGGTATTTGGCTCGCTGGGAATTTCAATCTATGAGGGGCCTCCAGATTACCCAGATACCTGCCCAAAAAGGGGCCCCCAATCTGAGGAAAAATCTTACCAAGCCCTCTATATCAATACAGAAATCTTCTCTATTTAGCCCGATTAACGGGATATCTAATTTACACGAACATACATGGGTTCCCTCTTGAATATCGAAAGCCCTGCATGTGCAAGACCAGCAGTAGGCTACAGGCTGCACAGGTGCCCTATCACGCGGGTCAAGATTCCGGGTTTACGGTACAATTAGGGATCCCTTTGTTGGGGGTATCTAAAACAGGGATTACAATATGGTGGAAACTATTGTGGGACCGTCTATGTATGGAAGCTGCCATACAGGGTTTAGTTGTTTTGGGTTTGCAGGATGTATTGCCGTAGCCGTAAGTTCATGGTTTCCTTGAACCAGGCCCCTGAATCCTGAACCCTAAACCCCTTCCACTGCCCGGCCCCCATGGGGGCTTATCAAAATTGAAGATGCTGGGAGTATCAACAGAAATCGTCCTTTTCTGGGTCGCCTAGAACATATTAGGCGCCGTATAACAGTGGGCACCCAAAAGCGGCCGTGATGTCAAGCAGAGTTTATAGGGGTCTCCGCCTTAAGTACGTTTGCCAAATGATGCAGTCACGAGTTATCACCAACAATGACCCCCTATACCCTGAACCCCCAAATCCTGAATTTCAAACGCTTAACCTGTTTTGCAGGAGTTCTGCTCAGCATTCGGGCATGTAAAAATCCAACCTCCTGGCAACTACCACAAATTGAAGGGCCAGGGTTTTCAATTTAGGGTTTAGGATTTGGGCCTTAGCGTTCTAGGGGCTTAGGTGTTAGGGATAGGTTTAACAGACTACTATAGTCATAGCCTTAAACTGGGTCGCTGTTAAGGAACTTAGATTAGGTTACCATAATATGGGTATATCCGAAATAATGGGGTTTCCTTATCATAGTAGTTTAATTTAAGTTCCTTAACAGCAATCCAGCAAACCTTGAACTGAGGGGAAGCAAAAATAGCTTGAGTACAGTTTGCTGTGCTTGGGTGCTCCAAGAAATCCTATCCGAACCCTACAACCCTAAACCGTCATCAACGCTTGCCATGAACCCTAAACCCACAAACCAAAACCCTGTAGAAACTGCTGAGGTCATCCCGGCACCAGAGGCTGAGGCACGGGCTGCTACCGAGAGTGCCTTGGACAGCCTCATGGTGGGTTAAATCCACGGGAAAGGCCCCTGTAAGTACCGATGATGGTCCCTGGAATTACCCTTAACAGGCTAGGGCCCAAACTTCCAACCTTAGATGCGACGCCCCCATATTATCTAAAAGTGGGGTGTAGGACCGGGCCGACTGCTCAAGGGTTTACTGTGTGGCCACGGTTTACTGTGTGACACCCATGCTAGCTGACTAGGCTCAGGAATCTCGCGCAACCATACGCAGTCTGCCACTCACTACTGCCTGCCAGCAAGTAAGTCCCAGCCATAGTGCCAAGACAAATCAAGAAACTTGAAATTACGCGCGGCTATCACGATAGGGTGACAACTTCCTGTACTCGGAAAGGCGGAACTCCAACTTGCCACAAGCGTGGGACCCACTGTTTTGAAAAGGCGGTGATTATTGCTGAGGAAAGGTATATGGTTTCAGTCTCATAAGCGTGGGATGATTACTCAAGCCATAAGCCAAATAGCCAGGGGGCACCACCCTGAACAAGTCCACAAAAAGCGCGCTGTGAACTGTTGCTATAGCTGTCTTCAAAAAAAGTCAGGCTCGAAGAAAACATCTGCTAATCTGTTTGAGTTTTTGACACCTTGCTACGTAGGATTTTTTGAATTTCAGGAGCCCCAACTGAAACGTCCCAATTGACAGATTACTGTATTTCCGAGTCTATATTGAAGCCCCTATTTATTACGCGTGGTTAGTAGGGAATAAGGGAA